TGATTGTTTGATCTCTTGTCGGTTTTGTTACTTTATAATAAATATAAATCTTTTATTGTTTATATTTGTTTGTTGTTCTACTTTTCAGTGTTAAGTTAGCAATACGTTGCATAATGTACTTTTGGATTTTATATTTACATTGATGTTGGGGGCCCAATTTTGGGAATTCGCCTCTGGCCCCGAAAATCACAGGACCAGCCCTGCACCTATGCATACACAGATAGAAGTTAAATTCGATTATATTTACATAAATACATTCATTCACACACGCAGAGAGGGAGAGGAGAGTACAAAAATCATTGTGCAAAGAACATTGATGTCAACAACCATGGCGTCCAGTTTATTTTGATGAACTGTGTAGGAGGGAGAAGAGAGAGTGAGCAAGGGATAATTTAAAAAAAAAAAAAAAAATTAAGAACAAAAAAAACAAAAAAAAAAAAAAAAACAAAAAAAAAAAAAAAACAAAAAAAAAAAAAAAAAAAAACAAAAAAAAAAAAAAAAAAAAAAAAAAAAAAAAAAAAANTACTTGGATATTAGAGTGGAATAAATGTATAAAAGTCGGGTGGATACTGGATAGTACTACAGTTTGATAAAATATAAGGTGGATGAAAATATGGGCTCCTCGTAGTCGTAATTATCATAAAAACGAAAACAATATAGCGAAAAAGCGATGTTTTAAATCTTCAGAAGAAACTAAGAAAGTACTTTCCTTTTGGGGACAGCCATAAGCTCCATTGAGCCACCAAAAAACGACCAGTTCGGGAATACATCTTCGATCCAATTGCTGTGTTTGTGTTCGAGCAAACCCAACGGCGGTATCTAGTGATCGAATAGTTGATGGCGGTACCAAGCGGCAGTTGCTATGCTATTGCATGAGCCCATCGCCGGAGACTTCCTAGAGTATACCTTATGCTCGAGGAGGCGCATTTTAGCATCGCCACCCTTAACGCCAATTTAGTTTCTGCTACGCTAGCTGAACTCTGTTCTGTGTACAATGTGAGAAATTTCTCAGCTATGGAGTTGTGGAGAAGACAAATTAAATGGGCTTCAGATCCAAATCTAACTTAGAGGAAATTCCATAATACCGGGTGTTTAAAGATCACAATTCAAAAATCAGGGACCAAGTTTTATTATTCAAAAATCAGGTATCTATAAATTAAACATTATCCACCCAATTTAATTACAAACCCTAATAATTTCAATTCTTCTCTTATCTTGGTTTCTCTCTCACCTCTCTCATGATGGCAACGGCACCGGCGCGAGGAAGGCCAAGCCCTAGATCTATTTCCCCTTTCTTTTTCATCATTTCCCCCTCTCTCCACCTTTCTCTTCTCCGTCGTCTCGCTTCAGCTGGAAGTAGTGGCTCTAAGCATCCCTGATCTTAGCCGCGACACTCAGTTCGTCGCTACAGTGACAAACCGACAACGATTTTATATTATTTTGTGATGGTTTATGGCGATTAGTGGTGGCTTTGTAGTAGCTTTTGAGGTGATTTTGTGGTGTTGCTGTTGGTGTTTTATGGTGGTTTTGCTTTGGTGTGGTGTGGTGGCGATTTTGTATGGTCCGGTGATGGCGGTGGTCATGGCGGTGATGTTGCTATCAAGAGGTTGTGGTGGTGCTAGAGACAGTGGTGATGATGGTGTTTTTGTTACAGATTGTAAGGTGGTTTAGGTTGGTGGTGCAGGTGGAGGTGGAGGTGGAGGTGGTGGCGGTGGAGGACTTGATTATTTGTTGGTGGGGTGATGGCTGTGGTGTGGACCGTGTGGTAGTTTTGGGAGAGGGGGTGGATTTTGGCAGGCGACAATAGTGCAGTGGTGCGGTGGAAGGTGTTGTGGGTGCGTTCGTGGTGCTGTGACCAACAAATTTAAAAATCTGTGACCGGTTCATAATCTGTGACTTGTAATTTTTTTATTTGTGACCAATTAATTTGATAATATGTGACTAGTATATAAGCTGTGACTTATAATTATATATATGTGATCATTAATTGTATAATTGTGATCTAATTAATAAATATTTTTAA